ATGAACCTGAACAACATGGTAGGAAGTAAAATAAGCCAGGCACGGTAAGGAAACCATGAGATTTGGCTGACATGCACAGCCTGGAAGTTGACTCCATGGAAGCAGAGAGTGGAATGGGGTTTACCAGGGGATCGACAAGGGGCTGGTTGAGGTGATGCTGATCACAAACTATACAAGTTCAGTTGGATGGGAGGACAGGGTCTGAGAGAGCTGCAACACGGAGACGAGAATGAGAAACAATGATGGCATTTTTGAAATCATTCAGAAGTTCAATTTTAAGAGTTCTTAATTGCTCAAAATAATAACGCAAAGCCATCCGTGTACCAGTTAGCTTGATTTAGCCATTCCACACTGTGGACATCTCTCAAAACTTCCTGTTACACACAACAGAGACAATTCGTTTCAATGAAACATAAATTGCCTTAAAATGTGGAAAAATAGATCTGAGTACCTTATTATGGGAGAAATACATTCTCTTGCTCTTGGTGATAGTGTTTCAGGCTTCAGTAATGAACTCAGTCCTCTTCTTGAACACTGTCTGCATATTCATCGGCTGCGATTTTCCAGCTCACAACCACTGTTGGAAGCACCCTGGGGCCTGACATGTTTGGGATTTGAATTTTAAGATTTGGAAACATGCTAGAGTACATCTGTCTCCTGTTGTGTAATGTCCCCTCGAGGTCCAGGGCAATCCTGGTAATTAAAAACAGGACTCTTGTCATAGAAAATCAAATGAAAATTCACATTCTAGGAGCTTCCCTTCCATTCTGGTCAGACTTTAAATGAATTGCACCAAATGAGGCTTTGTCTCAAAATGTATTATGAAACAATTCTCAGTTTGTAGAGCTACTCAGAAGGCTGACCTGATGCCAGCTTCCCCAGCTGAATGAAAAGAGCATTCGGTAGGGCCCAGTGTTAGTCATTACATGTCCAGCCTGACACAAGCCGCTTCTGCATACACACGGGGCAGAACTGGACCAGGCACAAGATCCTGCCCTGAACCACAGAGCAAGAGACTGGAAGGTGCCGCCTCAAGGGGCCTCATGGTGATGGGGATTTTGCGCTTATAAGGCACTTAGCGAAGCACTTAGCTCCGCCCCACACGCTCTGCAGGTACTTGCTGCTGCTGCTGCTGCTGCTGCTGCTGCTGCTGCTGCTGCTGCTGCTGCTGTTTAACTAAATGGATTCCTATCCTGCAAGGCCCTTAAGATCATCTTTACTACTTCTCTTACTCAACTGAATTCACTTCAGGATGGCTTTCTCCTGTTCTCCCTCAGAGCCTTGTCACTCAGACCCTTGGTACAGACATGCACAGCTTGGAGGATGCTGTTCTGTTCCCTCCAGCCTCACCTGTTTTCCAACTTCTGCAGCCCAAGGGATCCAGAAAGCCCATCCCAGGGAGGGAAACGAACCTGGTAGCACCAAGATGGGGAACTCTGTGACGATCCAAGTTCTAAATGTGTTTCTTACAAAAATATTTATACTTCACCTTGTGGCATACAAACAGCAATCTGTACTTATTGGCCTCAGATACCAATTTCTTCCTGCTCTGGTTCTCCTCTGTGTTATGTAAACACACCCCAACCATCTGGACCCCAAGAAGATGCGCTGCACCAGGTGCCCCCTCTGCACAAAAGCATTCCATCAAAATGGAACCACACAGAACTCTGCCTCACTGGAAGGGGACATGAGCATCCCTGGCCCCACAAAGCTCTTTGAAAAATATAGTTCAGATGTCAAAGCCTAGAAGTTCAGAAGCACAGCTGAAGTGAGCGTATAAAATACTTATCACGTAGATAAGTGGGAACACAATGTGAGAAGGTCCCCTAGTATGGCATCACCTTTGTCCCGAGCAGTCCCATCCCATACTCTCCAAATCACCCAGGGAATGAAAAGGCTGTGGGAAAGGGACTGGGCTGGGAGGAAACAGGGAAGAGATTGCTGTCTGCATCCTTCAGTGGAGTCAGAAAGCCAAAGCTTTCATTTTTACCCAACTCAGGAAGTTAAATGCAATGGCAGGAATGAGCTAAATTCAAATTCACCAATAAATATTAATACATATTAATCAGAAGTAGATTCTACCAGAAACAAAGGACTCTGGCAAAGCGGAGTTACATTTCATCCACCTGCAACCTGGATGGCTGAGCTGAACACCAGGGTTCATCTCCCTGCCATCGTTCCCAATGCTGCAGCATCTTCCCAGAGCCAAATATATAGACTGTAGCCAGCCTTACCCACAGGTCAACACAAGAATTTTTGCTTCTTTTCTCTGTGCCTAAAAATATCTCCCCACTAACTTGACGTAGTACCTGACCACTGTCAGGAATCACGGCTCAGATACATGAATTTTTACTATTATTGATTTATTTGGTACAGGGTCTCACAATGCACCTTGGACTCGAAGTGATCCTCCTGTCTCAGCCTCCGCAGTGGGATTTCAGGCATGCACCACCATGCTCGTTTTCCGTGGCCAGCTCAGCGCAGGGCTAGCACGGTGTGGGGTACTGGGGATCAAACCCACATCCTTGTGCTTGCCAGGCATGCACTTAGACTGACGAGCTGTCCCCTCAGCCCTGGATTCATGAAATTGGAGTGCTGTGGAAAGGAATCCCTGAGAGAACGAGGGGCTTACTCATTCGTGGACTTGCTGAGATGGCGGGAAAAACAGAGACCTGTGTGAGTCAGTTTTCCCATCACAGCAGAATGAATGCCTGATGTGGCAGACTTTCCAAGAGGGAGCTTGCTTTCTGCTCACAGCTTGGTGTTTTGGGTTCACGGATGCCTACTGCACTGGCCCTGAAGCCCCTTACTGCAGAAGCACCTGCTGGAACAGAACTACTCACCTTAGAGCTGGGAAAGAAGGAGAAGAGGAAGAGGAAGGACCAGGAGCCCCAAGGTCTCCCTTAGGAGCACAGCCCAGGACCTGAGGACCTTCGCTAGGCCATGGCCTCCTGAGTGTGAGAAGTGAGCTTTCAGCACATGGTCCTCCAGGTGGAGTGGGCAGTACTTCCATGTGGAAACTCTAGGGAGCACTGGGAGGCTTGGGGTGGAGGGAGAAAGCAAGTGGCTATGGAGGTATGGCACCTGGCAGATCCCTAACTCCCTCCTTGCAGTCCCAATGGTCACGGCTCCCAGCGGTCATCAGTCTACCTGGTGTCTGATTATCCTTCCCTGCCAGCCCAGCCCGTGCAGATACAATTCAATCAAAGCTGAGCCCCTATCCACTTTGGTCGTGTCCTGAAAACACACATGGAGGTCAAGGGTCACATTTCCTGTCTGATTTAATACGTCTCAGAATGTGGACGTTGCTCAACTACAAAATTCATCTCTGACTATAAGCACGGGATCTCAGTAACTTGAAACTGGCTCAATCAACTATGCCTTAATTCAGCTCAATATTTTGTTAAGGTTATTTTTACAACCAGATACTACTTCTCAGCTTTGTATACCAACTAGCTGAAAGTATTTTGCAACCCATCACTCAAGACAGATCAAAGGATCAAAATCCATGTGAGGAGAGTCTCAGGAAGGGTTCCCCAGGCTCTATCCATCAGTGTCCCTAAACGAATCCAGTGATGAGCTATTCTTCAACAAAACTCTGAAAAAAAAAAAAAACCCTATGACCCCAAAGAATCCTAAATCTTCTTGTACCGATCTTCTAGTATTTAATTAGGAAAGAATTGAAACCACCATTAAATCTCCAAGGAAAATCCTTCTAATTAAGATACTCAGACAAAAAAAAAAAAGATATAAGATAATATGGGCCCTTATTTTCATAAGTTGTGGCTAGCAGGAATACTTTCGAGGATATTGCTTGCCATGAATAAATTATAATCTGCAGTAAGCCAAGAGCAGAGCTCCTGCTTTGTTTGGTGTGTGCTACTGTCTTCCTGTAAGCAGTTTGGGGCTTGCACACAGTCCCCGAGGTTCTGATCACATGCAGTTGGTTCCCCTTCAAGCTCCTCCCAGCCCATCATTTCAATTGCTCAATCCCAACATAACATTATTATGTCATCAAATGACACAGAATAGCAACCTAATCCTCTGGACTGTTTTTCCCTCCATCCAAATCACTAAAACCCAGAAATCAGATTTTCAGTGAATTGTGCTCCGTCAACAAGGCCCGGGCTCTTGGAGTTGGCAGAGAGAGCTCAGGCTTAGGAAAGAACAATCATAAATCCTGGCCTTTGTTTCATGCAGAGCCATGCACTGTAGTTCAGGAAAAGGTCCCTCTCTTCCCAAAAGGCTTCCTGTGTTTTACAAGATACGGTGGGGGTGATTTACAACAGGAAATACCTACCAAGGAAGGAAGGTTGGATCCAATCAAGTATGGTGCTGAGAAGGTTGGAGAAATCCCAGGGAAACTTTAGAAAGATCTCCAAATGTAATATTTACTACGATTTCCAAGAATACGGTCTCTAAATCAAATTTATTGCTAGAAAATCTTCACACACAAATAACCTCATTCCTCCTTGTTTTCAAGTTAAGGCATCACTCCACCCTTCAAATTCTTGCAAGGCACATACAGCAAAAAGCAAAGAACCCACACGGCCATCACCCTGCTTTATCAATGACTCCATGGGACCTGGGTCACGTGCCAAGAAGACATTTTTATAACACAGAACAAACTGCAGGAGGGGAAAGGGTTACAAAAGAGATCGTACTGTTTTTAAGAAGCCAAATTATGTGTTTGGCAGAAGACAAGGAAAGAAAACTTTTAGTGCTCAAAGCATCTGCTTCCAACCCTGGGGTGGCTTTTCTAATCCATGGTGCTAGCAACACTGATTTTGTCTTCTTGACCCAGGGATCGAAGAGAACCAGACTACCTTCAACATCCGGACCCCTTGCCAGGAGCCTCCGCCGCTGCCTGGTCACAGAACAGGCAGCACACACAGCATTAGAGCCAGCCACACATTTGCAAAAGGTGCTAAACAGCCCCAGGTGCACAAAGCAACCAGGTGCAACAACGCCACATCTCAGCGACAGAAGAGACATCTTACCTTGCTCTCCTCGCCTTCAAACACAGACTGGTGGACGTTGCACGCGAACAGGGAATTGGGGAGGTCATTGAAGTCAGTGATCGCTTGAAAGGCTTCTTCGGCAAAGCACCGTGTGACAGCCCAGTCTCTGTCCACACAGCAGAGTAAGAAAAGTCCTCCGTCCTTGGGGGTGTGCTCTGGTGGCCCCAGGCTCTTCATGCCGATGAAGTAGGACTCGCCACGCATGCCAAGACTGGTGTTGGCGAGACTCTGACAAGCTCCTTAGGATTCAGCGTTCAGGGCACAGCTCTGCAAGACTGCGGTGAGCAGGGCAGGATGATCAGGAGGAGAGGGAGCCACTACTGGAAGGGAGAAGATGGCAAATGCGTGTTATTTCCGTACTCTCTGCACCAGGTTTCCTATGCACCTCTGCCACTTCTCAGCAAGAACCTAATTGGTGCTCTTGTCGAATGAATGAATGAACAAATGAATGAATGAATGAATGAACGAATGAACGAACGAACGAAGCTAGAAACCACTGCCACTAGTACTAATCCCTAACATTTATCAGGCACTGAATTGCAGCACTGTTTTGAAGACTATATAACAAATCTATTTAATCTCCATGATAGTTTAAGAGGTTGCTACCTGAGTAATTCAGTAGCTTTACAGGATCAAGAACAGAAAGGGGATATAGGTCAGTGGCACAGCACCTGCCTGACAAGTGCAAGGTCCTGGATTGATTCCTGGCACAGGAGGAGGAGAGGCCGGGGGTAGGGGAAGGGGAGAAAGAAGGGAAGGGGAAGAAGGTGAGGGGGGAGGGGAGGGGGAGGACAGGAGGGAGGAAGAGGAGGAGGTGGAGAAAGACGAAAATGGCAGTGATGATTGATACTTGGAGGGTTCGACACCAGCGCTCACTGTCCTGTACCCAGGGGGGGAAAAAAAAATCCAACTCAACAGGGGAGGAAGCCTATGCTCCAGGAAATGTGATCTACTTCGTTAATCTCTGACTCCTAATCATGCCAATTCCAACAGGCAAGCTTATCTGCAAGAGACCTACAACACACAATACACATACACACATGCACACACACACACACACACACACACACACACACACAAACACAAACACATATCTCCTGTCTGTGTGAGGTAACTGATGCAAGTAGTGGCGCACCGGGTCTGGATCTTGAAAACTCATGCTGTCTTCTCAGACCCCTCTCCCTACATGGGGTTTCCTCCCCATCCCCATGAAGCCTCTCAGTGTTCACTGAACATTCCTAATTCACCCATCAGCAGAGCTTTCCCATTTGTAATGTTGGTGTGCATTTCAGTGGATTCGGTCAGTGTTCCTGCCCTTTTCAAAGATGGCGTCTTCTTTCTCTGCTTGTATCTATTTTCATGCCTGTAATGCTCAGAGTTCAAGAGCCAAAGGTCCCACAGGTGATATTGGCATGGGTGAGGTTGACAGTTACTTCCTGGCTGCTGATCATTTGTAGGGAGCTCTGTTTCCTTCAAACTCAACACCCCAGACCTCAGTATGAATGCAGCAGGGTGGGCTCCACGCACTCCCTCTGTCGGCACTGGGGTCTAGTTACACACACACATGCTGGAGCCCCCAGCAACATGGAGGCTTCAGCTTAAATCTCTGGGATTTGCAACATGTCATGGTTTTTGGTTCCATCTTTTTTCCTGGAAAAGCCCCAGAAAGACACTGATGAGCCATAATTGATGGTCATAGTAGATCACATGTTAACTCTTAGGTCTGGTTGTGATTCAAACCAAAATATAACTAATTTTAGGTAATACCACCCAAATCGAGTCACTGTAATCATGGTAAATAAAAATGATATTTTAGGCTACAGAGATAGCTCAGTGATCTAAGCACCTGCCTGGCAAGTGCAAAGACCCGGGTTCATCCCCGGTCCTGTATGCCATGCTGGCCCCAACTCCAGGTATCCTGAGCCGGCCACCAAAACCAGGAGTGGTGGTACATGCCTGCAATCCCAGCACTGGCGAGGCTGAAACAGGAGGATCTCTACGAGTCTGAGCTGCATAGGGAGACCCTGTACCAAATACAGAAAATTTAAAAATGAATGGTATTCTATGTACAATAGAATGAAATCATTTTTATACTCTTGAATTTTTAAGACTTCAATTAATGCCATCTTTTCCTACTCAAGTCAATAAAATACTTATTTTAAATAAAATAAAATCTATAAATGACCTAATATGTATGAACAGTTCAAACAGAGGGAAAGTATCTAACAAAACTTTGATATGAGGCAATTCAACTATTAGTTGGTCAACTATTAGAATATGGAATGCATATACATTTAGTTTTTCATATTTATTTATATGTTACTTACGATATTTTACTCTAAGATACATAATGGTCATCATTTATTACTATTAGAGTATTATTTTTTTAAATAATTACTAAGCACATCAAAACTATTACTTTTATGAATGGATTACAGGAGAACCTTTGCTTATGAAGTTATCATCGGCCAGTAGCATGACTCATACCTGTTGCCAATTCTGAATTTCTTTTTATTTCTGACCATCTTTTTTTTTTTTTTTTTTTTTTTTGCAGAACTGGGGATTGAACTCAGGTCCTTGCACTTGCCAGGCAAGCACTTATTCTACTGAGCCATCTCCCTGGCCCCTGACCATCTTATTTATTTATCTATTTATTTATTTTACAGTAATCTGGCATTTGATAGAATCCCAATAAGGAAGGATGTTGAAGGAACAAGCTCTCTTAGGCATCTCTTCCACCTTTTATATGTGTAAAATATGTTTAAGTTGTTCTGTTCTACATGCTTCTATAATTTTTAAAGAGAATAAAAATAATACAAAAAATGGAAACAATACAGAATTTCACTAAACAACATATGCATCTTATTTAAAATTTTAAAAATGAATCATAACTGATTTCAGATGTTCTTGGGTGTGTCCTGCAAAGGTTTCCATTATACTTTTTCAAAAGAGAAACTAAAATTCAGTGCTCAGTAAATTAACTAGACCAGATATTAAGCCTCACAGAGGACTCCTCTTAATCTACTCAAATAGCTTGCACGGCTGTCCTAAGCTGTAACAATACGATTACCTTCATGATATCCTAACCTCATTGCTTTCAGTAAAGATTAAAAGAGTGAGTGTATTTTTGGCAGAAAACCTATCCCAGGAATACAGAGAAAGACTTCAGAAGCTAGAGCTTTGAACAGAGGAAGCCCTGCTGCCTTTTCCAGATCCCTTGGGGACTCATTCTTGGGAGAAGTCAAGTGATTGTCCAGTGACTCGGTTTACCCTCGTAACACAAGAACAAAAACACCTGTCTCCATCAGCCAAGTGGGGAAGGCGGGGGAATCCAGCAGGAAGGGGAAAGTGACCCAAACAAGTGTTGAGCACTACATAAAAGGGTGTGCAACACAGATGACGTGAACACACTTCCTTCACAATTCCCTTCAGGACCAAGCAGCCACGCTTTTGGATCATTGGCGGCCCTTTTAGAAGCCCAGCTAAACAGGAAGGAAGGAAACGCTGAAGGGGAACTTTCTAATAAATGCAGAGCCCTTGCAGCCCGTGTGAACTGGGATGTCCTTTTAATTTCAAAATTTATACCTGTAAAGACAAGCGTTGCCTGCTTAACACGCCATGCTTGTGTGTCGTCTGAGGACCACCACAACTCTGACCCTGACGCTGGCCTCGGTCCTCTTCCTCCGAGCGCCTAAGCACCCCTCAAGGCCTCTCCAGTAAACCGCCCTCCTTACCAATTCCTGTTTTACTCGTCTATGTCTCAGCTGTGTTTTGCTGTTAATATACTGGGGATTAAACCCAAGGTCTTTGCTCTGAACTCCATCCTCAGCCTGTTTTATTTTTGAGATAGGGTCATTAAAACAGAAAGCAAACCAGCCTGCCTCCCACTCCACCAATACCAGCAAAGTGAAGTTTGTTGAAATATTGCCAAGCTAGGGAGAATGACAAGATAAGGGATTGAGCTGGACTCATCTCAACAGAAGAGGAAGACCGGAGAGAAAGCTCTCCAACCTTTCTTTTACTTTGCTAACGTGAGAAAACAATTTCCGGCCAAGATTTTCAAATGCACTGATAGCATTTATTCATTAAACATTAAAAGATGTAAAGTGAAGACATCATACTTCCCATCCTAATGATGAGTTGCCCGAAACTTAGAGAACCCACTCCACATTCACGCAGCAGCCACTGAACACACATTTGCTGAAAGAATGAGTATGCAATCACCCCTTCCCAGTAAATGTGGCTGCTGAAAATATGCATTTCTTTACAAGGAATTAATCTCTCCCAGACTGTTAGGTTTCATTCCTGACAAACATTTCCATAGAACAATTAAGCCCAGCGGCCGAAACAAGACATCCGGTTCTGTTGGATATTGCTACTGTCACAGAGTCTCTAATGGGTATCAGATTCTGGTTAAAAGCCTTCTTCCTTTCTAGGAATGGGGGATATTTCCAGAGAAAGGTGACTGTGAGTGTTTCTATTGGAGCTCTGGTCTATTAAACCCCAAGCTGTCGAGCCGGGGAGGTGGCTCAGTGGAATAAGCGCTTCCCTGGCAAGTGCAAGGGCCTGAGTTCAATCCCCAGTTCTGCAAAACAAACAAACAAACAAACAAAAAACAAGCTGTGTATAAAAGGAGGGGTTAACCATGAATTTCTTCAGGATAGCTAAGGAGTGAGGAAAAGAAAAATAAAACTGTAAATCTTCATGGAGATGTTTAATTTAGTTTTATGGATAAATAAAATCATGGTACAGTAATGTCATGTGTGGCCTTGGATGATTTCCTTTTTTGTAGGACTAGTAATAATTTTACCATTAAATAAGTCCACTGATATTCGTTTTCGTTTTTGTTTTTGTTTTGTATTTTAGGGAAGGGTGTATAGGGTGTTCAAGGTCTCACTACTAGATCAGATTCATAGTGATCTGCCTGTTTACAGCCTGCCAAGAGTTGGGATTACAGGTGTGCACCACCACACCCAGTCTGAGTCACCATCTCAGCATGCTCTGGGGGTGAGGCCAGCACAGCAGGACTGAGGATCAAACCCCTGGCCCCTGTGCCTGATTGCAGGCGCTTTAATCCGCTGAGCTATTTGGCCAGCCCTGGCATTCATTGTTAGGGCGTCTCAAAAATGAAGTCCTTTGCACTGCCCTTTTGATATTTAATATCTAGATCCTCTTGGGAGTAAGATAGGACTTTTGCTCATTTCTGTCCATCTGGCAGAAACCAAAGTATAATATTAGCAGCAAGGGCCCACGAGCCCCCCCCCCCCCGCCCCCGGGATCCAGAGGAGCGACCTGGTATTCTCAGGCTGGGCTCCATAGC